AAAAAAAATTACCTAATGATACTAATTCTTTCCAAAATATGCATAACCTTTCCGAGATTCAAATAAATGCATTGGCTATCGAATTGGGTTTATCTACAGATGTATTGAATAGAGCAATGAAAAAAGTTCTTGACAGTGACCGTTCACCTGCTTCAACTTCAGTAATTGGAGACGAATTCAGTCACAGTACTCACAACATGCGTTATGAATCATCACATAATTCATCCAAGTCTGTGGGTAACATTAACCAAGAACAATCTTATTTTTCGTCTAATCAAAAATATGAACATTCACATATGGGTTCTCGAGATTCGTCACGCCGCACATCTAAAGATTTTTACGAGAATTCAGTAAATGAACCCATATCTACTATAAATCGTCGTCATACCATATCTTCAATAAGCAGTAGTTCAACTCAACAATTCCCTCCAGAAGCATTATCTTCTGTCATTAAAAAAACACAGAGTGGATGGTCATCGATTAATGTTAAGCTCCCTAGTTTGCATCGAAATTCTGTAGATTCCGAGAGAGAAAGTTTATCAAGCCAACTTGCTTCAAATTCTTTGGAATCAACATCATCTGTTCATCCAAAGGTTACAAACGCGGTTACAGATGATATATTTGGTAAACATGAATTTAGTGAGAACTTCGAAAACGAACAAAACAAAGTCTCAAAAGAACAACAAGTTGAACGATCAAAACTAAAAGATCCAATAAAATCGACGGGACAGTTTGTTTTTGAACAAACCACATCTTTTCCCACTTATCCTGAACCAAATAAACAATGTACATCACCCCAAACCCATCCAGAACCGAATTCATCAATTCGAGACTTACAACAGCAAACTAAGAAGCTCATGAATTATTTGCGCGGTAAACTCCCGTCCATTATCACTCTGTAAAATATAAGGAGGCCCAAACACTGTAAAAACAGAAAACAGAAATGCAGCGACTTCTGATGCCTCTTTAGTGCACAATGGACATGTCCACAAAAATCTGGTGAAGTGGTCACAGAGATGTGCAATATATTAGTATTCTTTATCTGGATATTTCTCAAATAAAACAAGGTTAACTTGTACATGCTATAAAAGCTTTTTTGATACAATAGTTTTTCCAACAATAGGTGCAGGAAAACTTCTTCGAGTACAACACTGTGTATATCGAGCAACATATAGCTCTACAAATGATCTGGATACATAGGCATATTGATTGCTTATCGTCTCATATGTTTTTTTTAAACCACAGTGTTGGTGTGTATCACCATGAATTTTCCCAATAACTTTATAAAGATTTTGGAATAGACAAATAACGCAATTTGATTTTTCCTTATTTTGTATTTCCATAAGTTAAATTATAGGATTTTGGAACGTCCCAATATCATGTAAATAAAAATTATTTTTTGCCCAATATTGATCTTTTGTATTACTATTAGAAGTATTATTTGGATTTTTTAGAATACTAACAATTAAGTCATAATCCTTTTGGGTAATTATTGCTTTTCTTCGCTGTGTAGATTTGCGATTTGATAAAAATTCTGATATAAGTTGATCAAAAGCAGCATGAGTGAGAAAAGAAAAATCTCTATTTGTATCTATAATATCAAATTTATTTTCTCAAGAAAACAGTGAAACTAAAAGTGTTGGTATTCCAAAATTTACACTATTGGGTAAGCTTTATTTTTATTTTTAAATATTGTTTCAAATCTATATTTCAAGCAAATAGTAAATCGATTTTATTGTTTATACTACGAGAAACTCCTATAATTACATATTAATTATATCATTATTATATATTAGGCATTAATTTAACAACTAAAAATAACCTCTGATCCAAGACTAAAACCTGTTTAAAGTAATTTTTTTATACGCAGTTTCTGCAACTAATATCATATATGTAGTACAAACACAAATATCAATTATATCCCTGATCCAGGTAGTCTGTATAAGAATTCTAAATTAGACTACCCTGATCCTGAATCTGGACAGCCGGATTCTGAATTGGGCAGATTCCTATCCAGGATACAACATATATATATTAATTTATTAAAATAAATATATATAAATTATTAAATTTTTTAGTTTAGTCTAGAACTTAGAATTTTTTCAAATCTGTAACAAACCTGTTACTCTATATGCATATTTATATTAGTCAAATTTAAGCAAGATTGCAAATAGATATCAACAATCTACTATTTAATGTATTTATACAAAACAAAATTTATAAAAAAAATTCAAACTATATATATTTTAAATTAACTTTTTCCCAAGCATTTTAATTAGCTTTTAACAAATTAACTAAGCTAGAGTTTGGAACCGGTTTTATTTTTCATATGTTAAAACTGATTAAAACCGGTTTTAACATATAAAAAATAAAACCAGTTCTAAACTTTAAACTAAGCATGTAGATAACCATTTGGCTTTATTACTTTTCTATACTATTTATTGTTTTGATTCTAAATTTATTCATGGTTCAATAATACAACAAAATATAGAATCTTATTTTAGTATTAAAGAATTTGAAACTACCAATAATAATTTATTAAATAATTAAAGTATTTATTATGAATTAGACAAAGAATTAGATAATAATTTGGATTTGAATTAATATTGAAAAAAAAAATTAAAAGAATTATCTTATCTTTCAAGTATTGTATTGTCATATATACAGTTGTTTATTTCTAGTATAGATGTAAAACAAAGTTTTAGTAATTACAAAAACATTTTGAGCAATAAGTGGCATAATTTTTCTGAAAATTCAATATCAATGTTAAATTTATTATATTTTAATAGAGTAATTTAATATTTTTCTTAAGGGATTTTTTTTGAAAAATTTTCTTCTTGAAGGATTTTTTTTTTTCAAATGATTTTTTTAAATAATGTTTCAAAGATTTTTTTGTCAAAAAAGTTTTTTGAAATTTTTTTTTTCTACATGTTAATTTTTCAATTAAAATTTACTGTGCAGATGCTATACAATTTATAAATCTTTCTGTGCAGCAAATAAAAAAAAAACACGAGAAACTATTTGCAACTGTGCATAATATTTGCAAAATGCTAATTTTTTTGTACAGCATCCACACATCTATTTAAAAAAAGTGTGTGCAAAATTTTGTTTCTGTGTGCTGTATACAGTCCATACAGTAAAAAATTATCACTGTACGTATTAATTTATAATATATATACTGTAGTAATTACTGTATATTAGCTCTTACATGCATGTATTGCTTTCAAAATTGTATGACTCAGCATGTTATTTGATTCGATTGTCAGCCATCTTTGGAAGTGATTTACATCTGAATTAGATAAAAAAATATATATAAAAGGAATTTGCCATTTCATAGATTTGGTTGCGTATTATAATATTTCTCTCTAGTATTTTCATTTCTTGAACTTGTGTCTCTTGAGTGTTGTAATGTGCTGTACTTTTTGATCTTGATCATCTGCTTCATTTTACTTCTCTCTAAACGTATGTTATATTTATATAAAAAAAAAAAAGCAAAAAAAAAAAAAATTGCACATACCATGTAATGCTAATAATACTAATACATATATTTATATTACAAATTTGTGCAATTTAGCATTTTAGGTAATATATTCTGCTATTGTTTTTTTTAAAAAAAACTGTTTCATTTTATAAATAAATCAAATTTACAAAAATTATTTGTTAGGATATATTTCAATATAAATATTTATTATTCAGTGCTTAACCTTAAGTATGTAAAATTTTCATTTTTAAAAAAAAAAAATATATTGTAACTACTACTGTCATGTAAACCATGTGAATGATAAATTGATATTGGTTATTTAATTACAATTTTGGTTTACAATTGGCATAAATTTCTACTTTGCTTTTAAATATAAATCTAATTGAAATTGTTTACATTCGATCACATAATTTTAATAAAATTAACGTGTTTGCTGTGTTTTTCATTGTTTCTCTTGAATACAATAGATGTAATTCTAGCTATAATAAATGATTAAGTTGCTTCAAATTTGTATATACTTGACAAATATAAATATGTCTATTAGCTGATGAAAAGTGTAAAATTTTAAACCAAAAAAATTATAATAATAAAATAAATAATAAATTACTTATCTTAATTGCTATTAGATTCAACTTTATCATTATCCGTTATATTTACTAGCTTATCGTTATCATGTCATCCTTATTTGTGTTGTTTTGCTTAATTAAGACCATTATAGGAAATAATAAATTTGTATCTGGAAGCACCTTGTATCGAATAAAAGATACTGAGAAAGCTTTTAGAGAAATTATTTATAAAGGCTTTACTGGATCTTCTGAAACATTAATTAAAGAATTCAAGAGCAACTTCATTATACTTATGATTGGACAGTATGTTTATAATAAAAATGTAAAATATGTTAGTATTAAGTTGCATTAATTTCTATCTGTTAAATTTTAAAAAAGCTAATCTATTATGAATTTTAATTTACTTAGATTATACTTATTCAATCTCGTACTTTCTAGATGATTTAACTATTAAGGCTGAGAATTTTCCTTATTCTTATCTGCTATTGATTTATTTTGCTCTTGCCATGACTAATTCTTACCAAACTAATGATGAGGTTGGGAGACAAAGCTTTATGCTATCAAGGCGATTATATAATAAGGTAATAGGTAAAAAGAATATTGAATCTAATGTGATCGTATCCTATATAAATCAGAATGGTTGGTATAATTCTCTTAAAGAGAATCTAAAAAAGACAGTTATATTAGTAATTGAAAGATTCAAGATCAGTTTATATAAAAAAACACCTCATATTATTGTATCGGATATTGAGTGGAACTATGCAGAAAACAATAGCAAATCTCAAGCTTCATCTTCTTCCAATAATAGAAAATCAAAACCCTGTGGAGATTTGGATGACCAACTTGAACTTATAGAAGAGAAGTATGCGAAAATAGAAGCTCAGTCTTCAAAAAAAAGAAAATTTAGTAATTTCACTCCACAAGCAAACCCGCTAAAAGATAATTTATCATCTACTAATTTCAAGGACACAGTCATGCAAATTAGAACTAGTAAACCTGCTGCACAAGAAAACTCTACTAAACCTGCTATGCAAGAAAACTTTACTGAATCTGCTGTGCAAGAAAACTTTGATGAAATGATTAATAGTCAGGATATAGAATCTGAAGAAGAATAAAATAAATATATAAATCATTGTTAAAATTAAAACTAATATAACTTACTATTAAATTTCTGTATGACTGATTCTGATTACATAATAATTATGTATCTTTTTGTAACTTTTTGTCAAAATGACATCCTTATTAATTATAATATTAGTATTGTTTAATAAATTGATTTAATAAAAGACCCGAATTTGGAAGTTAGGACCGAGATTGGAGAACCGAACGACAACAAGATCCTTAGAAGGGGGGATCTACC